TAGTCATGTCTCCTTGTACAGTGTGTTAGGAAGGACAGGAGATGGAGTAGAGGTGTTGAATTTACAGCCCTTTAAAGTTGATTTTAAAAATATGTTTGACATGTCTAGACCTGAAAGTAAAGGGCTTTCACTTTTTTAAGTTATTAGATTTAGACAAAATGAGTAATACCTTTTATATTTTCTTTATACTTTAGTAGTAGTTGGGCTTAACTTTGAGTCTAAAAACAACGTGAAAAAAGACTTGTTCCAAAATGTAGTTATGTAACTTTTTAGCACATGAAAAGTTCTGGTACATTCTGAAAAGCTTTAAGGCATGGAATCAGAATCAACATTTGGGGACTGGAAAGGCGGCTCAGAAGTAGAATGCTTGCCTTGGATGCATGAGGCCCTGGGTTCAATTCCTCAGCACCACATAAGCAAAAAAAGCCAGAAGTGGTGCTTTGGCTCCAGTGGTAATGTGCTAACCTTGAGCTAAATTGCTGAGAGACAGTGCCCCCCCCCGGCCCAGAGTTCAGGCATCACTACCTACAAAAACAAAACAGTATCAACACTTGGAAGAAGCTGAGGTGATATTGCACGTCACCATTTGTAGTGAGCTGCTTATTGCCAGTCTGTCACACAGTCACTAAAAACAGATTTTTTTCTGGAAAAGGGGAAGCAAGCTTGGTTTCAGTCTCAAGCCAATTACAATTTCAAGAACATCGGCCTATACAATAAACACTTTTGGAAAGGTCAACAGGGCAAGTACACCAATCTTGGACCCCATATACATTTCTTTGCTAAATTTTTCATTAAAAAAATGGGTTATTAGAGACTTGGGGCGGGGGAAAGAGGGGCTTGAACTCTAGGCCTGGGTGCTGTCCCTCAGCTTTTTAGCTCAAGGCTAGCATGCTACCACTTGAGCCACAGTGCCACTTCCAGTTTTCTGGTAGTTAATTGAAGATAAGTCTCACGGACTTTTCTGCCTGGGCTGGCTTTGAACCGCGACCCTCAGATCTCAGCTTCCTGAGTAGCTAGAATGGTACCGGCGGCATGAGCCACCGGCACCCAGAGAAACATTTTTATATGATCACAGGAGTCATCAATCAGGATGAGGAATAAATGAGTATTTGGGAAGGAGAAATAAACTCTCAAGTTGTAAGGACAACACAATCCTTGCTCTTACCGTTTTTGACACCTGGCATATGTATGTAAGGAATGGATCATTTGCTCAAGGCTAGCACTCTACCACTTGGAGCCACAGCTCCACTTCTGGTTTTTGAGTGGTTAACTGGAGATAAGAACCTCACGGGGACTTTTCTGCCTGGACTGCCTTCAAACTGTAATCCTCAGATCTCTATCTCCTTAGTAATTTACCAGTGTGAACCACTGGTGTCCAGCTGAAAAAATGGTTTTTATCTCTGCAAGTTAAATCACCTTCACATTCTATAGTCTACAACTGGTCTGTTATAAAAATCATCTGACACTGGCTGGGCTTAGAAATAGAAGCCAGTGTGTCACTTCCTTGGTTGTGTATTTACTCTGTTTATTCATTATAAATGCAGACCACTTGTTTCTGCGAAGACAACTAACCATGAATCCTTCACTCATTTTGTAATAAAGCTTTAAATTTTAAGTCTAGTGTTAAAAGTTTAGTGGTATGCTCTCAAGCTTGTGTCATAATAAGAAACAAAATCTATGAAAGCATGGCTTTATATGAAAGACATTTTCTGGGACATATTAATTACCTAAAGGCATTAAATAAGATAGAAAATATTTTAAAAATCCTGTTGGGTGCTGGTGACTCACACCTGTGATCCTAGCTACTCAGGGGGCTGAGATCTGAGGACTGGCTCAGCTGGTACAGAAAAGTCTGTGAGACTCTGATTGCCAAAAAACCAACAAAGAGCTGGAAGTGGAGGTGTGGCTCAATTGGAAGAGTGCCAGCCTTGAGCAGAGTAAGCTAAGGGAGGATGCCCAGGTCAAGCTCCAGTACAAGCATGCAAAAATTAAAATACCCTTTACACACAGGCTGGGAATATGGCTTGTTGGGAGAGTGCTTGCCTAGCATGCATGAACCCTGGGTTTGATTACTTAGTACCACATAAACAGAAAAATCCAGAAGCAATGCTGTGCTAGCGTTGAGCAAAAATGCTCAGGGACAGTGCCCAGGCCCTCAGTTCAAGCCCCAGGACTGGCAAAAAAGAAAAATGTTTATACCAAATACTAGGAAACCTTCCATTTAAAGATGTAGTAGCTGGCTAGAAAAGGCTCTTTCAAGTTAACCCCAATCTGCATGTAAGCAATCTTTTCCAATTCATCTGTATGAATATCATGAAAGATTTGGTCAAATGTTTTGTTAAAAAATAAGATACTTCAAAGTAGGCACCAGTGCATCATACCTGTAATCCTAGCTATTCAATAAGCTGAGATCTGAGGATTACAGTTCAAATACAGTAGGACAGGAAAAGTCTGAGAACTCTGTCATAAGTAGAGCTATGGGCTCAAGTGGTAGAGTGCTAGCCTTGAGGGAAAAAAAAAAAGCTCAGGGACAGTGCCCAGGCCCTGAGTTCAAGCCCCATGACTAAGCAACAACAATAACAAAGCCAGACACTTTGTCTGTAATCTTGCATGCATCTAGGTAACTGGTAAAAAAAAAAATATGAGAAAGCTATACTTTGTGAGAATAGGCTAAGCACTAAGGAGTGGTACCTTCTGAGTATGCAGATGGCTATGTAAAAACTAAAGGCATTGGTTGTGATTTGGCATCAAAAACACAAAAGGTTTGTGAGCAGTGACCTGCAACACTAATTTTGAACATACCCTACATTCAACAAATTACTATTCATCATCTACTATTCACACAGCCATTGTTGCTAACTCCTCAGCAGGTCAGCCCTGAGTGCAGCAGAGCACATTTCTGGGCACCTGTTGTTACATCTTGGCAGTCTCAGCATCATCATTCACTTTTGCAGATATGGAGAGATCAGGTCTGAGAGTTGCCAGGAACCCCGTGATAAGGTAGAAGCCCAGAGAACTGACTCGGGAGCAGGTACCAGAGATGAAGACTGGCAGGCAAACATAGCTTCTGTGATGGGTACGGCATTGACAGCTAGTACCCTGGTGGTAGTGTGAGTGCAAGGACACAAACCTCATAAGATCTCAGTCATGGAGGTTGAGAAGTAAATAGAGGCAGGTGTTTGCTGTTAAGGAAGTCTTTAAAGAGAGCCAGTAGAACCTTGGGTTGTAAGGTAAAAGACTGGCAAGATTGAGGACACAGGAAGTGTGGACCAAAGCACAGTAACAAGAATTAGTGCACAGAGTTGGAGCTGGGAAACAGAAAGCACAGATTGGTCATCTAAGCAATGGAACACATTGCCAAGCCTGAGCCAGTGGTGGCCTCAGGAGGCTAAATTATCTTCAGTCAGGTTAATAACCTACAGGGGGAGTGTGGAACAGACTTGTTTATCCTTTACGCTAATATACATATATGTGCGCACACCACACACACACACATATGCTGTATGTACGCCACATACACAGATAGGTTCTCAGATGTCCAACTTATATTCAACAGATTCCAGAGATTCATGACACATTCTCACCATTGGCTCATGTACTGGCTCAAAACTGATTCATAAAAAGTCAAGTTTTTGTTTTTTCTTGAGAAATAAAGTGTTCTTCCAGCATTAGTCTATTTCCTCACAGGGCAATACCAGCAGCTCTCACCTACCTCTATTGTCTCCTGACCAGAAGCTTTATGTCAGCTGATAAATATCATTGAGCTTGAATGATTATTTCTCTAATAAAGTAGCAAGGGCACTATTTTTTCATATCTATGTTACCTGTTTATAGGAGCTGCCTTGGAGTGTCAGCATCTGAGTTTGAGAGACCTGCTTCATTGGACATCCCTTTTGAAATTCCTAAAAACAGCTCTAATTGTACTCTTACATGTAAGATTTTTTTTTTGACAGTCCAGGCCCTGAAACGTAGGGCCTGGGTTCTGGCCCTGAGCTTCTTTCACTTAAGGCTAGTGCTCTACCACTTGAACCACAGTACCATGTCTAGATTTTTCTAAATATTTTATTGGAGATAAGAGTCCCATGGGCTTTTCTGCCCAGCATGGCTTCGAATGCTGATTCTCAAGTCTCAGCCTCCTGAGTAGCTAAGATTACAGGCATGAACCACCAGTGCCTGGCTGAACTAAGTACTGAGGCTCAAAATCAGAGCCTGGGACTTGTCCCTTGGTGTTTGTGCTAAAGGATGGTGTTCTACCACTTGAACCACAACTCCACATTTGGCTTTTTGGTTTCTAATTGGAGATAAAAGTTTCAGACTTTTCTGCCCAGTCTGGCTTTGAACCGTGATCCTCAGATCTCAACCTCCTGAGTTGCTAGGATTACAGGAGTGAGTAAGCTTACTGGATCAACAACTTTTTTCATAAATCATCTCTTTAATTCCTTTAAAATTGTCTGAAGTAATTAGGAGCTGTTACCTCTATGTTATATGAAGAAGCTGAAGCTCTCAAAGGCTGAGCAAGTTGTATGGGATTTTTACACTTCTAGATGGTAACAGAGTTTTAAACCTTGGACTCAAAGCCTGAAGGCAAAGCAGATGCTTTCCAACTTTCTATTATACTGCTTGCCAACCTATGATCTTATAACAATAAATTTACTGCTACCATATAATATTTCTCACCCTCTCCTCCAATCCAATCATGAGGGACTGAGAACCAAGAAGGGGGACTGAGAACTAGGCAGAGCAGAGAAATACAAGGCCATTCACGGTCTGCCAGTGGGAATCCAGTCTGCCAGTGGGAATCCAGGGCTGTGGCTTTGTTGGATCTCAGAGTTACTACTATTCTGGAGGAGGGAGGACAGATGGTTCTGGGGTCACTGTGACTCCTGTGAATCATTGAGGTGTGTGTGTGTGTTTGTGTGTGTGTAACTGGGCTGTGCCAATGCTCTACATGGGTCAACTCCTTAAAGAGGCTCTTGCCTCACAGCTGTCAGACCACAGAGATGGGGAAGCTGTTTCTTTGGGTTGGTGAGTGTGGCAGTTCCAGCGATGTTAGTCCAGCAGATACCAGGCTTCATGAGTTTAGCATCACTGCTGGGACTCAGGAGGCTGGAGAAGGGATGAGACACAGTGAAGGATTAAGGGGCATCCAGGAAAGAAAATGCAGAGTAGCAGCTCTCCAACTTGGTTGAACATTTTAATGTCTGAATTCCATCTTGGGTCAATCAAATCAGAATTGCTGAGGAAACAGCCAAGATATCAGTACCTATTAATTCTCAATTATATTAAGAGAACTTTTGCTGGGACATTAACCATTATGATCCCTGTGCAAGGAACACACAGAGATACACAGAGTTTATACAGAGAAAATGTTATTAGAAAATGATCTTTGATCTGGCTCTCTGGACTTCACTTTGGAGGAGAGGAAATGGATGGATAGTGTGTGCTTCCATCTGTGCATCTGCATCTGGGCACTGCTTCTCTGGCGGGGCACTCACTAACCAGAAGGCATGCAGGGACAAAATACTTGGTGTGTATATGAATCTGTGTGTGATTCCTTCTTCTGTTTTCCATAGGGCTGGTTCTTCTGCTGAATCACCACAATGGTAAGAAAATCATCTTCTCTCCTTCAGCAGCAGGATAACTCTGGCTAGTAAGTCCTCCACAGAGCATTCCTTGCAGCCCTGCCTCACTCTAGCTCCTCTGGCTGGAATTATTGACCCAGTGCAGTCCCCTGGAGGCCAGTAGGTTATCTGCTGTCTGTATCACCGACTCTGTATGATGGCATCCAGACTTGGGATCTGAACTTGGGATCCATGGTGACCAGAACGCATAAGGCATTCTTTTTTTTTTCCTGGGACCTAATCAGGGAGGAAAGGATGAGACTTCAGGTGGAGGTGGGTGTGAGGAAGGGTGGAGGAGGCCATATCAGTGGCCTTTTAGGCTGCTATGAGTTGCTCTGTGTGTGTGTGTGTGTGTGTTTGTGTTTGATTGGGAGAGTTGCATGAGCTGCTGCATTGCTTTCAGAATCTGAGCTCTCCTATACTGTGTGTGTGTGTGTGTGTGTTTGTGTTTGATTGGGAGAGTTGCATGAGCTGCTGCATTGCTTTCAGAATCTGAGCTCTCCTATACTGTCTCCCCACTCTTTTATGTTTTGTTGTTGTTGTTCCTGTCCTGGGCACCGAACCTTAGCTTGTTTGCTCAAAGCTAGTGCTCTACCCCCTTGACCCATACCTCCCTTTTGGTCTTCTGCTGGTTATTTGGAGATAAGAGTCTCACAAGCTTTTCTGCCTTGGCTGGCTTTGAACCAGGATCCTCAGGTTTCAGCCTCCTGAGAAGCTAGGATTACAGATTTGACCCACTGTTGCCTAGCACCTTTCTAATTCTTGGATGTCTGCTAACTAATGTGTGTTCTCCCTTATCAGGTGCTGCCTACAAACTGGTGTGTTATTTCACCAACTGGGCACATAGTCGACCAGGGCCTGCCTCCTTCTTGCCCCATGATCTAGATCCCTTTCTCTGCACCCATCTGATTTTTGCCTTTGCTTCAATGGACAACAACCGAATTGTTGCCAGTAATCTCCAGGATGAGACGATTCTCTACCCAGAGTTCAACCAACTGAAGGGGAGGTGTGTAGATATTAGAGGGGGGATTGAATTTTCAAAATTTTACAGATTTAAGGGTGTCAAGCCTATTTCTCTTGTTACTTTTAAACTTTTCTCTGATTCTTCCAATCCTAACCTCCTCTCACATGGGACTCCCAACCTTGCCCAATTCTTAAAACTCCATGTTGACAAACCCCTCAAGTTCCTTTTTTCCTGATTTCTCTAGGGATGTCATCTCCTTCCTCGTTGTCTGATAGACTCACCCTTTGATACCCTACATGTGACAATCTCAGATATTAAAGTTAAAATGCTGTTAAAGTGATTCTAAGAGTACTTGAACATCACAAATGATTTTTAAGTACATTTAGCACTTGGAGCCTCCAAGCTCAAGCTCCTCAAGGAGAGTAACAGTGTGTCCTATGCTTCAGTATACCCAGTGGGGAGGCCAATGTTTGCATAGAGTTGTGCTTAGTAATTATATGCTAAGTATTCCCTGCTGGAACTCCTGGTTCTTTTCCTGTTCACCTGAAGATTTAGGGCTACATGAATGACTATAGATGGCAGGGGGGAAATCCCATAGCACTGTACTTCGAGTTCCCTGAGCACTGGGAGTTTGTTCATGATGTTCCCTGCTATCGTCCAAGCATCCAAACCAGTCAGTGGTTCAGTTATTGCTCAATAAATATTTGTTGAGTGAAGAGAAGGATTTCAGCCAGATACTGATGGCTTATGCCTGTTACCCTGGCTACTCGTGAGGCTCAGATCTGAAGATTATGGTTTGAACACAGCAAGAAAGTCTGTGAGATTCTATCCTCCAATTAACCAGCACAAAACTGAAAATGGAGCTGTGTCTCAAGTGGTAGAATGCCTGCGTTGAGCAAAAGAGCTAAGGGACAAGCTCCCAGGCCCTAAGTTGAGGACCCCAGGGCCAGCATGCTCATGTGTGTATGTGTGCACACACACACACACACAATTTGGAGAAGCAGGAGGGAATGTGAGGTATTTGGTGAATTTTGTACAGTCTTGGTGTTATGGAGCTGTGTTGGCTATTGGTCTTGTTCTTGCTCCCCCTTTTCCTTTCTTTTTTCTCTCCTTCCTACCTGCTCCCACCCACCTTTTTTCTTATTTTTGTGTTAGTGTTGTGGCTTAAGCTCAGGACCTTAAGTTCTTGCTTAGCTTTTTTTGCTCAAGGTTAGCCCTCTACCACTTGAGCCCTACCTCCACTTCCAGCCTTATGCTAGTTAATTGGTGATAAGACTCTCACAGACTTCTCTGCCCGGGTGGCCTCAAAGCTTGATCCTCAGAACTTGGCCTCCTGTGTAATGAGCCACCAGTGCCCAAGTCCTTTCCCCCTTTTTCCCCTCCCATCTCCCATTCTCCATTTCCCATTTGTCTTTTACCGTGTAAAACAGAGAATGCTGACTGCCATTGTCCACTGAAAGAAAGGCCTGCCTACCCAGCCTTTCTCCTCCATTCTAGGAACACGGAGCTGAAAACACTGCTGTCTGTTGGAGGGTGGAACTTTGGCACATCAAGGTGAGGTTGGCTGTCACTTTTTTCTCTGGAAGAGATGAGTAGGGCCGGCTAGAAGTGAGGATGGTAGAGCAGCAAGCCAGCTTGGTCATGAACATAGCAAAGCTCATGCCGGCTGTTCCTCAAGTCCTACACTGGCCCTGGATTTTAAGAACTCCTTCCCTGGAGAGTCACAGGAGAGTTCAGGAATTCTGGTTTTGAAAGACCATTTTCAAATCAAACAAGTGAAATACTGTATTATTTTAATGCTGCCTCAATACTATCACTTCCAAATTTCTCATTGCTTTCAGTACTTTTTTTCCTTGTAATTTTCTCTTTACAAAGGTCTGTGCATCGATGAACTCTTAAGTTTTCTGAACTACACCTTATTTAGGTAATGTGACTGAAAAGAGTTAACCTGTGGATTCTCAGTCTTTCTGAATTGAAACAAGGAAGTCCTCATGGGTGGTAAGAATGGGGAGGACTGAGAGATCAAATAAGATATGCACAAATGAGCCTTTGTAAGAAAACAAAAAAGAATAAATCCAACATTTCACAGGACTGTTATTTCCTCACTTTGTTAGCATCAGTGTTCCCAACCTTGGTGGAGGGAAAGAAGCAGCAGATCAAGTGCTGGTCTTGGTGGTGCATGGGTACATGGAAACTTTCCCACCTCAATAGCCACTCTTGGTAGCATTTTCCTTCCCTGAGGAAAAGTGGACCTGACAAACTGTCTTCATACACGCTGGAGAAATCTTTCCTCCACTGGCTATTCTTGGAGCAGAGAACTGCATGTGTTCTCACTTTGGGGAGATGGCAACTGAAGCCATCTCAGCCCCTAGTCTTCACCTTTTCTCCTGTGGACCTTTGCATAGCTTAGGGCTGTGCACCAATTTCATGTCTGCCCAGGAGCATCCTACAGAGTGGTTATATTCCAAAATGGTAGGAAAAGCAAGAGTCACAAGTATTAGAAACAGGGCTGGGAAGGTGGCTCAGTGGTAGAGCACTTGCCTTGCATGCATGAGGCCCTGGGTTCGATTCCCCAGCACCACATAAGCAAAAAGAAAAAAAAGCCGGAAGTGGCGCTGTGGCTCAAGTGGTAGAGCGCTAGCCTTGAGCTGAAGAGCTGAGGGACAGCACCCAGGTCCAGAGTTCAGGCCCCCCAACTGGACCCCCCCAACAAAACAAAAACAAAGTATTAGAAACTTGTCAGGTTTCTCAGAGTCAGCCTTGTTGAAAGTAGCCAACAAATGGAACCCATGATCTTCTATCTCTGAGTCTGGTCATTTGCTAAACAGTGTCCAAAGGGCTAGTCCTGAGTAACTTCATGTTCAACTCCAACTAGTTAGAATTCTTCCCAAAGTGTCTTCACTATGAAAATGAAAAGAAATTAAGATTGAAAAGAAAACCAGACAAGCAAACAAAAGAGCCAGGGACAGGAAGTTCTTATCAGAGCCCTGGCTTCTGGTGTCAGCCCAGATCCTGATTAGTCTGTAGATCTTTCTGAAGTTGTTGGCTTTGGCTCACCTTCCTTTTCCCAGTCCAGGCAGGGAGGGAAAGAACACCATGGCTAGGACAGGTGGTAAGAATCGTTCTGATGAGGTGCCAGCAGAGAGAGGTTGAATGCCCTGCATGGTTTCCTTGACTAGAACAAGGAAGAGGTTATACTCTGCCCTCTTTGTCTTACCCCTAGTATCTCCACAGGTTCACTGTGATGTTATCTACCCCAGCCAATCGTGGCAAGTTTATTGCTTCAGTTATATCCCTCCTGAGGACACATGACTTTGATGGTCTTGACCTTTTCTTCTTGTACCCTGGACTACGAGGCAGCCCCATGCATGACCGGTGGACTTTTCTCTCCTTAATAGAGGTAAGACTAGTTGGGAAGCTCCAGAATCCAGGAATGGTTCTACTGTTTATTGTGTCTGGTCTCATGGTAGAAGGACATAAGGCCAAGGGCAGGAGAGAGGAAATAGAAGATTCTCTTACTCCTTTCTCCTAGAGATCATAGGGCAAACTGCTTTGCTCAGCAAGTTCCCGGTGTGTATTCTTTTTCTCCATCTTGGTCTTGCTCCAGTGCTCTCAGCGTGGATCCTGTGTACCCAGACTTCTTTGCTCTCCTTGATCAAATCACTGTTGTTGACCCACGTCAGTCTTTCTCACAGCCTACAGGCAGGGCCTGCATCTAACTCACATTTTTTGTTTTGGATCGCCATATTTTAACATATAGCTTTGATATACTTCTGTATCAAACAGATGAAATGGCCAAGGCAAAGTTATTTCTTGAATAACTGCTAATATTACTGATTCATTACTGGTTCAGGAATTCTGGTTTTGACAGACCATTTTCAAATCAAACAGTGCAATATTGTATTATTTTAATGCTGCCTCAATACTATCACTTCCAAATTTCTCATTGCTTTCAGTACTTTTTTCCTTGTAATTTTCTCTTTACAAAGGTCTGTGCATCGATGAACTCTTAAGTTTTCTGAATTACACCTTATTTAGTGAATGTGACTGAAAAGAGTTAACCTGTGGATTCTTAGTCTTTCTTTGAATTGAAAAAAAATTAATCTACAATAAATAAGGCAGGTTATATTCTCTTTGGCAGCCTGTGCCAGAAAATAGAAAATATTTCCTAACAAAAACTTAAAAGACATATTGAAACATTTTGCTAGCTGTTTAGATTTAACAAAGTAAATCTTAGGACATTTTAGCTGTTCAGAAAGCTTTACGCAGGTCTGAGGGCTTCTTGCACTTAGATCTTGAAGCAGGAATGGTTCTTGAATCACAATGTACTACATGGGCAAGGCATTGCTTCACATCAGTCATAGCCTTCCTCCTACATCCTTTCTGTTCTCAGACCTTTCTCAAGGGGATAATGCTTTCTCTCCCTGACTGATTTGTCTGCTTCTCTGTGTCTTTCTTCCTAGGAGCTGCTGTTTGCCTTCAAGAATGAATCACAAGTCACCAAGCGCCCAAGGCTGCTGCTCTCTGCTGCTGTCTCTGGTGTCCCACACATTGTCCAAACATCCTATGATGTGTATCGTATGGGACAGTGAGTAGATGCTGCTGTGGCGGGACAGGACATGGAAGGGACGGAGGCATCTTGAGCTAGAACTATGGAGCATCTCAAGTGCTGTGTCTGAGCTTGCCATAGCCCTGGTCTGAGGAGCATTGATGTATAGAACAGTCAGCACTACTGGATGTACCAGGGGGCTTAAACACAAGGCCTGCGCGTGCATGCGTGCGCACACACACATACACACACACAATTAAATTAGATCATTACAGTAAGCCCCACACTCCTGACTTGGTGAATGCTCAGTCACACTTGGTCACTAGGAAGTTTTCTAGAAGGTGTTATCAGTGGCTCCTGGAATGGTAGAGAGACAGCAACTCTTTTACTGCTATCAGTCAGAACTCTTTTTACTCACAGCAGTTATTTAGACCCTTGGGAACACTTGTGAGCCTGGATGTATTTGCTTTTATGTCCAGTTTCTGCCTACCAACGCAGATACTCTCCGAATGCATAGAACCAGATGCACAGCTCTCTATGTCAACATGGTGGGCACAGCTCATGCAAACCTCAAGGCAGAAAGAGCAGAGTAGCCAAGGTGACCAACATAGCTAGTTAGTACTGCAGTGAACTTACCTGACAAGTTAAGGTTGGCTAGCCCAATCTAAATATCTTCTCTTCCATTTCTTACAGACTCCTAGATTTCATCAATGTCTTGTCTTATGACTTACATGGAAGCTGGGAAAAGTTCACTGGACACAATAGCCCCCTATTCTCTTTTCCTGGGGATCCCAAGTCTTCGGTAAGAAAAGGAAAGGTCTCAAGCAGCCCGGATGTCCATATCTGAGCCCAAGTATTGTCTCTTAGTAACAGGGATGGCCTGTGTTCTTTATCCCGACAGGCCTATGCCATGAAATACTGGCGAAAGCTTAGTGCACCCGCAGAGAAGCTCATCATGGGGCTCCCCACCTATGGACGTACCTTTCACCTCCTCAGAGCTTCTCAGAATGGGTTGCATGCTGCAGCTGTGGGACCAGGGGCTTCAGGGAAGTATACCAAGCAAGCTGGGTTTCTGGCTTATTATGAGGTGAGGGTATTTGAGACCTCTGCCTAACAGCAAGGTTTCCTCCAGACCTAGCTGGGACAGTATATAAGACAAGTGAGGATGGTAGAATGGGAGCTAGAGCAAAGAGGTGGTTTATCCAACAAAGGAAATTCACGACCTGAAACATTTTCTATTTCTCTGGTGGAACTTGAATCTTTTGTAAGAGATGTGAGACTTGGGTATTTTCACAGAAGGATCTTAAATACTGTGTAGGTAAACCCTGACTTACTATAAGGCCTAAAAAATCATATATGAGATATGTAATATAGAACATATATTATATATACTTATATAATTATATGTAATAGTAATTGTATAATATATATTATATAATATATAACATATATATGATATGTGTATGTATATGCATATATTATATACATATATATATAATATAATTCAAATACTTACAAAAGCAAAAAGTATATGTAACAACATATATCCCTTATCTAGGTGAACTCTTTAACGTTTGGCCAATCTTTCTGCATCTGTGCTCTGATTCCTTGCTTTCTTACTACTAAGGCTATGTGTGTGCATGCACCAATACCAGGGCTTGAACTCAGGACTTCAAGCTCTTTGCTTAGATTCTTTGTTCTAAGTTGGCATTCTACCACTTGAGACAGCCTTCACTTCCAGTTTTTTGGTGGTTAATTAGGGATAAGAGTCTCACAAACTTTTCTATCTCAGATGGCTTTGAACCATGATCCTCAGATCTCAGCCTCCTAAGTAGCTAACAGTGCCCTGAGTACTAAATTATTGTGAAGCAATTGCAAGATAACTTCTAATATAGGCTCTTTCCCCTCTACTCCAGCTCCAGCCTTATTTCACTTCTTAACAAAGCTTTCTCTGGGATGAAGTAGAGGAGATAGACAAGTCCACAAGAGAATGAGGAGTATGAGTTGACAATGTGGAGGGCTGGCTGTAAGGAAGAGGGTAAATATCATAGAATAGGGGAATGCAGAGCAGATTTTGAAGCACAAGAGAATCTGAATGTGCAGGTACAGGTCAGCAGGAACAAAGGCACAAGATGTTTAAGGGGTGCCAGAGGGAGAGTTAAAACCTTCCTGCACCAGGTACTGGTGGCTCATGCCTGTAATCCTAGCTATTCAAGAAACAGATATGAGGGTTGAGATTCAAAGCCAGTCAGCAAGGGCAGAAAATTAGTGAGAGTCTCATCTCCAATTAACCACTAAAAAGTTGAAGCAGATGTGTGGCTCAAGTGGTAGAGTATCAGCCTTGAGCAAGAGCACTAAGTGCAGGCACAAGGCTCTGAGTTCAAACTCCAGTACTGACAAAAGAAACAAATGAAACCTTTGCTTCAGCAGAAGTGGAGCTGCCAAGTGTCTCTGCAAGCTCTGCTCTGTGCTGGCTATTAGGAGATCTTTTCCTATGAATCCACTGAGGTGTGGTTGTGAGAGTTGGCATAGTTAAAATGTTTTTGAAGGATACCACATGGGCATAACTTTTTTTTTATTTTGCTGGTCCTGGGGCTTCAATACAGGAGCTGGGCACTGTCCCTGAGCCTCTTTGTGCTCAAAACTTTTTTTTTTGGGTCCGGTCGTGGGGCCTGAACTCTGGGCCTGGACGCTGTCCCTCAGCTCTTCAGCTTAAGGCTAGCGCTCTACCACTTGAGCCACAGTGCCACTTCTGGCTTTTTTCTTTTTGCTTATGTGGTGCTGAGGAATCGAACCCAGGGCATCAAGCATGCAAGGCAAGTGCTCTACCACTGAGCCACCTTCCCAGCCCAATGTGCTCAAAGCTTTGAGCTAGGATTATAGGCCTGAGCCTCTGGCACCTGGCATCTTACTCTTTTATTCTACCATGGACACTAGAGAAAGGACCATGCAATAGAAGGAATTTAGTCAGAATAGTGAAGAATTCCTGTGTGACCAGCTTTCCCACTCCACTCCCTATTTGATCTACCTTTGTGTGTGTGTGTGCATGTGTGTGTGTGTGTATGGATATGTGTACTGACTGGTACTAGGGCTTGAATTCAGAGCTTTGTACTCTCACTTGGCTTTTTGCTCAAGGCTGCCATTTAACCATTCAATCCACAGCTCCACTTTCAGTATTTTGCTAGTTAACTGGAGTTAAAAGATTCTCACAGGGGCTGAGAAGGTGGCTCGGTGGTAGAGCGCTTGCCTTGCATGCATGAGGCCCTGGGTTCGATTCCCCAGCACCACATAAGCAAAAAGAAAAAAAGCCAGAAGTGGCGCTGTGACTCAAGTGGTAGAGTGCTAGCCTTGAGCTGAAGAGCTGAGGGACAGCGTCCAGGCCCAGAGTTCAGGCCCCACGACCGACCTTCCCCCACCCCCAAAAAAAGATTCTCACAGACTTTCCTGACTGAGCTGGCTTCAAACCAGGATCCTCAGATCTCAGCCTCCTGAGTAGCTAGGATTACAGGTCTGAGCCACCAGTGCCCAGTGTGATCTATCTTCTTCTCATGCCCTGGTGAGGACTTCCTAGATGCTATATTCTGGAACAAGGGGCAGCTATGTCTCCTGGTGCTCCTTGTTATGGCACTTCATGGAACTCACCTCTGGTGTTTCTGGCAGGTTTGCTCCTTTCTTCAGAATGCAAAGAAGTACTGGATTGACTATCAGTATGTTCCGTATGCCTGCCAAGGGAAGGAGTGGGTTGGCTATGATAATGCCACCAGCTTCAGTTATAAGGTGAGACCCAGAGATTTCTCACTTCAGGATACGATTCCCACTGGCTTCTGCAGGATCCCCCAGGAGTGCATAGTGCCTGTGCGTGCATTTCATGATCCTGTCTTGAATTGAGTGCTGTCCCTTCATTTTATTCTGCTCAAGGTTGATGCTCTATCATGTGAACCACTCTTCCACCCCTTTGGTTTTTTTGCTGGTTAATTGGAGATGAGAGTTTCACAGACTTTCCTGCCTGGGCTGGCTTTAAACCACTCAGTCTCCTGACTAGCTAGGTTTATAGGCATGAGCCCCCAGTGCTTGGCTTTCTTTCTTTTTTCCTTCCTTCTTTCTTTCTTTCTATCTATCTTTCTTTCTTTCTTTCTCATTCTCTCTCTCTCTCTCCTTCCTTCCTTCCTTCCTTTCTCTCTCTCTTTTTAGACAGAGTCTCACTATCTAGCCTATGCTGGCCTGGAACTCATCATGTAGCCCAGACTGGCTTTAAACTCCCGATTCTCCTGGCTCTACCTCTTGAATACTGGGATTAAAGGCATGCCTGGTCTTTGCCTGTGCTTTGATGAGCCTCAGAGACTTGATAAAGTAGGAATTCTTGGGTCTACTTCTGAACATTCAGTAGGTCTGAGAGTCTGGGAATGATTTTTTAGCATATCTTCATATATAAATTTGCTGTAATAGTTTGTTATTTGGAGTGACACATAAGACTCCAGGCATGAGATATAATGGATCTAGATTAGGAGGTTGGAAGAAGAGATTATGTATGAGAAGTTGTCAGTATTTGACAACTGCCTGGATATTAGGGTTTATAGGAAATGATTCATAGTTCTACTGTAGGTGCTGTAGTAATGGCAGAGTTCTGCTGTTCTGTCTTTTGAGAGGGCAATTAAGGGTTAAACAAGAGGTAGGGAAGCCCTCATGAAGATTCAGTGTGTCTTCCACTGTGCATAAATAATTTCTGCTGGGTAGAAAGCATTGCTTCCATCTCTTAGGACCTCACTCTGATTTGGGAAAGGAAGATAGAAAAGATCAACAGCTTGACAGAAACAGAAAATTGGATGGACTTAAATATATGATCCACAGGGGGCTTGTCCCCACGTGTTGGGGGAGGTCTTGGGACCAGCAGCAGAGAGGGAACTTGCAGTGAGGGACATTGTTGTACCTTTCAGAACAACATGGAACCCAGTGTGGGGATGATGAAAAGATATTATTATTATTATTATTATTGTATCAGTACTGGGGCTTGAACTCAGGGCATGGACACTGCCCTTAGCTAGCTTTCGTTCTTTCTTTTTTTTAAATTTCTTCCATTTTTTTCTTTTTTGTTGGTTGTGGGGCTTGCACTCTGGGCCTGGGCACGATCCCTCAGCTCTTCAGCTCAAGGCTAGTGCTCTACCCCTTAAGCCACAGCACCACTTCTGGTTTTCTGTGGTTAACTGGAGATAAGAGTCTCACAGACCTTCCTGCCTGGGCTGGCTTTGAACTTCGACCCTCAGATCTCAGCTTCCTGAGTAGCTAGGATTACAGGTGTGGGCTACCAGTGCCCAACTGTCCCTTAGCTTTCTTACTGGAGGCTAGTGACTTACCATTTGAGCCACACTTCACTTCTGGCTTTTTTTGTTGGTTAATTAGAGATAAGATAACCTTGATACTCAGATCTCATTCTCCTGAATAGGATAACAGGCAGGAGCCACCAGGGCCTGGCTTAGTTTTTGAAAATCATCTTTATGTAGTCGTACAAATGAGTTTCAATTCAACATGTCTATTTATGAATACAATGTATCTTGATTAATGTTACCCCTTCCATCATTCATCATCCTCCCTTATCTCTCCTAACTCTATCTATCCCTTCAAGTTACCTAGTTTTCATAAGTTCTATTTACACACACACACACACACCCCACAGAATATTATGGCTATCTTTACCCACTCTGATGAAGGGATTTTGTCAGATTACCAATGCTAAAGAAACCCTGGAGGTCATTGCTGAGACATAATCATCTCTGCATATCTTACTATTTTTGCCCAGAATGTGCACTCTGGGCAAAAGGAAACTAAAAAAATTAAACTGAAAATGGAGAGGTGCCTTCTCCTTTTTCTCAGAGTTATTTGTCTACATTCAAGCGTTGTACTCATCTCCTGCTCAGGGTTTCCTTGTAAACAGCACCGAATATGCATGCTATTTCTGTCTCTGGAAGGAGGACTCAGATATTTCAGCCATTCCACATAGACTTCAACTCTCATAATTTAAAGTTTCTTCTATGGTACAAATCCTACTGCACAAGAAGGTGGACCTAAGTCCTTCATTCTGACCTTTAGTGAGTTGAGGCCCAGGACCTAGCTCAAGGTGCTATTTTGGCTGCTTTTTTTTTCTATAAATGACCTGTTCTCTGTTCCAGAGGTATAGTGAGGATGTACACACACACACACACACACACACACACACACACAACTGGAAGGTTGCTGGCCTTGGTGACTTACACCTATAATCCTATTCATTCAAGAAGCTAAGGATCACAGTTCAAAGCTGGGCTGAGCAAATAAATCAGAGAGCCTCTTATCCAGAGCTGGAGGTGTGGCTCAAATGGTAGAGCACCAGGGTAAGTGGAAAAAGCTGACCCAGAGCTTGAGACCCTGAATTCAAGCCCCAGTACTAACACACAAAGACTAAATCTGGCAGGTTGACTTGCTAACTTGTAAGCAGAATAAGCTCTCAGAACTTTTAAAAAAATTTGTGATTAAGTGATTACATAAATTTCACAAATTCCATAGTATTGTGAGATAGTGACACTTAGTTAAAGTCACAAACACATTCTAACCTTGATGAGGCAAATTGTCCTTATTGTGATCTATTACGTTTGTTAGTTCTATGAACTTTGACCATATAGCTGTTCCTTTCTTTTTGCTTAGTGTCAGCTGTTCCCTCTATCCCTCTCATTCCTTCCCTCCCATCGCTGCCCTTGAGTTGCTTAATTCATTTTCATCAATGTTCAGTGCAGCTGATGGGTCCCTCTGTTGTATGTTTTCCCCCACATAACAATAATTGTTTTTCCCCTTCCATTTATTTTAGACCTGGGGAAAATCAACCCCACAAAGGAGAAGATGACATCAGCAAGTCACGCAGCTATTTGAATATGATGAAGTGTGTTTTCCTATCAGCTTGAACAAAGAGTTCTGGCAGAATAACAATAGATCTTAGACTTGAGTAACAATTGACCCTATACTCTGCCATTTAGTTATAGCTAGGTTTAAAATTCATGGAAGAAAACCTTTCTATTCTCATCTGTGAAAAGGGTATGCAATAATCTGCTCTACTTTTTGTTTTGCCAGTTTTGGGGCTTGAACTCAGGGCCTGGGCACTGTCCCTGAACTTCTTTTGCTCCAGGCTAGCACTCTACCATTTGAGCCACAGTGCCACTTCTGGCTTTTTCTGTTTATTGGTTCTGAGGTATTGAACCCAGGGCTTCATGAATGCTAGGCAAGCACTCTACCACTAAGCCACATTCCCAGTCCCAGTCTTCTCTACTTTTAAGCATCACTGTGACACAGATATGTGGAAGTGATTTTTGTTTTATTTTATTTTTTATTGTGAAAATACCATACAGAGGGGTTACAATTACATGGGTAAGGTAATGAGTACTTTTCTTATCAAGCATTATTGCCTCCTCCTTTGTTTCCGCTTCCCATCCCTTTCCATCTCCCCACCCCCAAGTGATTTTTAAATAATAAAGTGATACCTATAGTTCACCGTAATAATAGCTACAACCACATGGAGGACCCAGAAGGATAATAGTTAACATTAGC